GTAAGGCGAGCAAGTTTATAGCCGAGCAGATCCTGTACTAACTGTTGATAAGATCGACAGATTATTAAAAGAGACAAAATTATACTATCAAAAGTTTTGACAATGCGTCATTTAAACTTTTTTATCTTTCTCATTCATTTAACTGAAGTAATTATAGTTAAACTATCTTTCTCCCGCGACGCCGCGCGCGCGGTAGTAAAAGAAAAATATTTAATAAGTAGGTTATGTGTTCTTCCAGACTATGTTCTATAGCTTTGTGATACGGATGTTACCGTCAAATTAACATCCATCCATACAAACATTCGCATTTATAATATTAGTAAGATTACTTCCTATATAAAATTACTGATAATCAATTTATACATCAGAAAAACTGAAAATAATAACACAATTTACTGGAGTAAACAAAGTTTTGTTTCATCGACGTATTTTACTGCAAAATGTAAGCCATGTATGTATGCCATTGTTGATGACACCAATAGTAATATTATTAAGACAATTGTACACTTTGATAAGGCATAGTCTCATAACTTTGATATAAAGAACACACACGGCAGTAATACGAAGAATTCCTTTACCGGCGAGCGTAGCACTTTAAATTCCAATTAAAAACATTCATTGGCGATCGCATCGCCAATAAAGGTGAAATTGCATTCCAGATATAATCTTAAAGCGGACTTCCGCCAACTAATGTGGTAAAGATAAGTCTTACCTACAAGTTAAAGTAATAAATTACTAGCTGTCGCATTCGACTCCGTCCGCACGGATTTAAAAAAAAACTTAATAAGTAGCCTTCTTAGTAAGACTTCTTCCGGATTATGTTATACATCTATGCCAAAATTTCAGCAAGATCCGTTCCGGAGATACAGTCTAACAAACATCCATCCACCCATCTAAACATTCGCATTTATAATGTTAGTAATAAAGATATTAAGATCTATTCTATAAAATTTTATATTTAACTAGCTGTTGCCCGCGACTTTGTCTGCGCGGGATTATAAAGTATTATAGATAGTAGCCGATTCTCAGACCTACTCAATCGGTCAAGCCGTTTCGGAGAAGTATGGGAACAAAAATTGTGACACGAGAATTTTATATATAAGATTATTAGAATAACAATCAATAAATAGAATCGTTCAAGTATTAGTATTCATCCATTTTTAATGTTAAACTTGATTATTTTGACTCCATTAGAGTATGACGAGAAAGACACTTTAATTATTGATGACATCAACAACGCTTGTGTATTCGGCGTGTAATCCAATAACGAAGAGATATGAGTCATTGTTGCAACGGGTACCAGCGCAATGTTGGACCGCGAAATGTGGGCTTAGCCTTCAATGAACTTACAAATGACTCATATTATATTGTTACACGCATGATGGAGGATTAACAACATTTAATACTTGCGAAATTATATTTAATTGAAGGCGGAATACTTTTGTATGGATAAAGGAGTCGAATGGTTTGCGTGATCTTAAGTGATCCAAAGCTATCAACAAACAAGAGCCAAAAGAAGGGTGCTAGTCGTTTTAGTTAGATGCATTAGAGTTACATTTAAATTATCAAATTCTAGCAATGTCTAATGTCTTTGACCTATGTTAGTGTGAATGCCAATGTCCAGTGAGTAAAATAGAGTATGAAACAGAACAACTAAAAGTGCTAAAACACTTTTAAACATAGTTAATTAACGAACAAACCGAAACAAAGTTAGTCTTCGTTAACCTAGTTTCTATGTTATATCTTCACATTAGCAGACCAAAACATGAATGAGAACATCCTTAAATAGTTACAACGATGTAAAACGGATGAATTTCTTTTACACTACTTGTGTGGGTATGTAGAAAGTTCGGGAAATCGTACGGTGGTCTATGCCGTCTATGCGTCCCATTATCACTTGAGCACCGCACCTTGTCATGCCGTACATGGCGAAGTTGACGTGGTCGTGTTCTCACGTATCTCAAGATCAACAAAAAGGACCACTGGCCAGCACTGTTATACGACCTACACCGGTATCGTCGAGCAAATGCTGTTGCTTTTCTTTTAAAAAAAAAAGTTCCATTTTTAAACTTACGTCTACATCATGTTTCCTTTATTATTTGCAAAGTTAAAGTAAAATAAATATGTTTACGAGTTTAGTGATAAGGTGATCAGGAGTACGTTATCTGTTTCAATTAAATATTCATCACAACACTTAAGGGTTAGTAGTCTTAATATTTACCTCTACAATAATACTTGATGTTCACAACATAACCTATGTATCGCAACGTGTATGACTTTACATAGTTTATAAAACAATTTTAATTTACGTTTGAATATTAAAACACATTATTCTTTTTTAAATTATAATTTCTACTAAAATTAGTAGTTTCCGTGCAAAAGTTGCATCTTATCAGCATTAAGGAAATGTCGCCAAGAATTGTGAGAGGTCAGACCAATCTTTTGCAATATATTGCTACGATAAATAATCTTAATAATTTATTTGAATAGTTTTTATTCTTTAATATAAAATATTATAATACATGCAATAAAATTTTATGTTACTTCTTCAGTTCATGATAACATTGCGATCTAGCTTTAATGTTTGATTGTGTGTGTGTGTGTTTGTTTTCAATGTGTTTACTAAAGTCATTATAAATACTAGTTAAAAGATATTAGAAAGTTTTGTTTTCACCCATTATTTTGGCAATACATTATTTAATACCAATTATCGGTATATGTACGGATCTTTTGGAACTTTTTCTTTTATTCGGATGTATAAAATAAAAAGTATGTCAAATTTAAATACAGTCGTAGGTGAAGTTTGGACCGGTAATCCTAAAATGGCGACTGTTGTTATAAATCATAGAGTGAAAGTCTACTCTAATTAATGCAAATATTTATCTGTAATGTTATCTAGTGACACAAGCGATTTAAATTTTATATAATCATAACTCAACGAATATAAAACGGACATAGTCATCATTCAATTTCACTTTTTTGTATATGATAAATATAATTCCTAATGCTAAAGTTATGAAGTTCGTTTTTTAAAGCATTTAAAAAAAAGTAAAACAAAATTGCTTTGCGTTTATTTTAAATCACAATAAACAAGATAGATATAAATTTAGAAGAATGTTTAATCTTACTAATATCACTTCTTACTAATATTATAAATGCGAATGTTTAGATGGATGGTGGTTTGAAGGTATCTTCAGAACGACTGAATGGATCCCGCTGAAATTTGGCATGGATGTAGAACATAGTCTCAGAAAACACATAGGCTACGAATTAAGTTTTTTTCTAATTCCGCGCCGACGAAGTCGCGGGCGACAGCGAGCATGCAATTATTTGTAATGCACGTATAACAACTTCCTTGTTAATTCATCTGTATATTCTCATTAGTTAACTTTACTTTTAACTTCTTTAAAATGTCACCAATATATTTTCACTTATGTTAAGGCGAGTAGCCAACAAAGAAGCGATGCCGAAAGACATGCGTGCGAATTGAAACGCTGTTAATTATAATGACGCGACTCGGTAGCATTACCACGCTTCTTAAAAAAATCTGGACTCTCCTTTTAACAAAAAAATACCGACCAGTAGATAATCATATTAGATATGAATTCAGCGACGCACTTCAATAAAGTAAAAAAAAATACTTCAGAAAACATCTAGCGGACTTAATTATAGTATAGATATCGTTACAACTTTGCAATTCAGACTTACTCAGATTAATTTGATACGCATCTTTTCAGTTTTTTTTCGATTTCAGTTATATTTGTAAGTAACATAATATAATTTATTTTTGATTGCTGTCCTTATTTTGTGCGAGCGTAATAGTCTTCCTAACTGTCTATAATGAGTTTGTCACTAATCTCGACATGGAATACCGCAAGCTTTGTTAAAACGTGTCTCGTCGAAATTAAACAATTTCCTAACCTAAAAAACAGCCGAGGTATAAATTTCGAAAGTGTCGTTATATTGTCAGATCGTTACAACACACGAAAAACAAAAAGAAGAAACAAAGAATGTTTTAATTGGCTAATCGTTTACAGTTAGATGCGTGGGCTCTCCCACATTGATTATATCGCCTATAGATGATCAAGCTTAAACTAAATGTTATAAATATTATCTACTATTTCTATTTATGCTTTACTAGTGGTGACATATTAGCTTCACTTATTTTGCGGAGGAATTAAGCTAATTTCTTTCTGTATGTATTTATGTAGGTTTTGTTTGTTTATTGTGTAGAGAGATGAGGATATTTCACGAACTGTATTCTCGGGGATTCGAATCTCATTTTACTTTGGTTGATAGACTGAGATTTAGATAGCAACTAACTATTTAGTGTTTTAATGACACAAATCTAATTCATATCGACAAATAGATTAAAATTTTATTACACTTAAATGACGTTAAAATGTACCGTGTTATAGTTTCAGTGAGAAACACAGTTACTACACACGGTCTTTTATTATAATAAGACAGTATAAAACAATAGGAAACGCGTTTTTCAATCTCATTCAAGGACATAACGCCGATCACTAATATGTATTTGGCTTTAAGATATGGCGTAGAATGCATAGGCTATCTAAACTTCGAATTCTTAATATCTAGAGCTAATACTGTGTAAGCTGCTTACAATAAAAATGATTACTATTTACATATGTGCAAAATAGTAAAACAACCATTGCACATTCTAAAAGAGCAGTATTTTATAAATAGCTGAGAACATGTCAATTCTATTTCTACGTCTCACTGTGGCGCCTAACGTTTTTTAATGTTTATTTCTCATGTGAATATGTATTTTATCAGTATACTGGGATATGACGAGATGCGTTTACAAAATTAACAAAAATAACCCGCGTCTCATGCGGTCACGCTGTCCAAGGTAAGGACGCAACCTACATTATACAGAAACAGCTCCAAGGTCTATCGCACAGATAATCTAAACATTACAAACGTAGCAAAATTAAGTATGTTCGTAGTTTTTTTTCAATAAACAATTTGATATTTACCTCAGTATTTCCGTATAAAACACTGTATAGTCTATGCACAATTTGGAACACAAATTAGCACGGTGTGAGTTATTTTTAAAGAAATAAATAGCGCGTTGTATGAGAATAAAACAAGACGCGGGAAACTGAGTTGGGGAGCGCGGTCAGCCACACGACACACTCTTTCGACAGCAAACGTCAGTCTGATGTGGTCTGATGATCGCACGTCGCGTCCTATCGTATAGGATGCCATTTATTTGCACGGCTTGTTACGCACCAAAGTACTTTTTTTATAAATCTCTAGTCAAAATATCAATTGTCTTTTTATTTATTTTTATCAATTTTATAAACCAAACTAAGAAACTGTTTTTTCAAATTTTTGGTGTTTATTCCGTTCTTATATTCCTATCGAATTTTAATTTAATAAGGCTATTGGATGAATTACCGAATAATAGATATTTCCATTAGTATTGTATTTTATATGTATAATATGTATGTCTAGATAACGCGTTTTTTAATTTTACAATCAATTAAAAGTTTCGTTTGCGTCTGTTGATAACTATAGCGTTTTCACAATTTTTAATTTTGCCCGATTTAATATTAAAAGTAACAGGAAACTTCATTGAAGGGACTTATTTTGATATGATATGATTGATATAGAATTTAGTCTATAAGGCCCACAATCTTTGAGGTGAGATGACAGACAATGCGTACGTGGTTACAACTGGGATTTTATTTATTAGCAATATATTTTCCCTTCACACGTTTAATAACAAAATATCGTAATTTTCCATGAATAATAGCACGCACCACTAACCGTGGGTTTTTGAGACCAATATGCTAGCTTATCTTGGGCTGTTCATTACCAAATAATGAACGAAGCAAGCTAGATACTTAATTTTCTTTTAGTACAGGGTGGAATTTTGAATTGAAACTGAAACCAGCTATAAGTTTATATCACAAACTATAATATAAATGTTAAATATGGTCACATCTAAAATTAAGTTTTTTTTATTAAGAAATAATTTGAAAAAGATGCATTCAAAAAAACTAATTTTATTACTTTTATGACTGTTTTTTGTCTATTCTGTGTGTATAAAATAAAGTATCTATGACATACAATTGTCAAAATTAAAATGTCACTTTCAAAGTATAATTATTCCGTTAAAATATAAAAATATGAAAAAGAACAGACAAATACATATAAAAAAATTAAAGGCGCATTTAAAATGTATATAAATTAAAATAATGTTATGTTGAACAAGCTGTGTATTAACAACATGCAAACATGTTGAACATCTTGTCGTATGTTGGCATGAACTTGCAAGCGGAAGTCTGCTTGTGGACTTTGATGGGGCTCGTGCGAACAATCTTCGACGCAACGCTGTTCAAAGTGAATTCAAATCTAATACAGGTGCATCGACGAAATATTAACCATCCGTAACTCCGACGCTCTGAATAAGTTTACTACAATGCAGGCTTGTTTACAACAGAGTGTTATTGTTTGTAATACGTAAAATTAATACGTTCTTAGAATTCTGTTTGGCTTTGTTGTAAATTAAGTTTTCCATCTTACCAACACACATTTAGAAGAAATATCAAATTTCACGGTGCCTAAAAATATTAATACTGTTGTTTTAAAAAACATGATTTAAATATTGTCTATATTACAGTTAAGAAAAGCTATAACTTTATTTATTCATTAATATCTCGGTTTAAGACGCTGCGATGACGATGGTGCAGTACCGGCCGTTCACCCTATGTATAATAACCGTGCAACCTGAATTTGATTTTCAGTGCCGTCACTAATTTAATCGTCGTTTGTAGATTTAGGTGTCAATTTGCTACACTGTGTTTTAAGATGTTGCATAACCCATTGTAAAATGCTATCGTGGTTATAAATGTTTTAAAAACTCTCAATTTAATTTACTCTGATTTATTCCATACAGCCAGTTTTAGATTCTTATTTACTTTAACAAATTGTACTACTAACTACCAAATTTAGTAAAACGTTAATAAAGTTTGTATTGAATTGTTAAATGCTAAACTAATTCCGTTGTGTACTCAGGTATGGCAAATGAAGATGCCACCACAGCTGTCGACGTCTGTGCAGCGTGTGCTGCGTACCATGGTGTCCGGTGTGATGCTGGTTCAATGCTTCACGCTCTACGTCTACCTCGCAGTCTACATAGTGCTGATGTATCCTGTCTTTTTGGTAAGTCGTTATACTGCTAGCCTTAGCCTTTAAAAAAATCCTTTCATTCCTGTTAACGCAAACTTATTATTTTACGTTATATTGCTTGATCAATTTAAACAGGCGTTCTTACAAAACTTTCAAAAAGTTTTTGTCGAAACCAATGTTTCTATTTGTTCTTCCATATCGGATTCTGGGAACCATACAATTTTACATACTTAAACATTAAGGAGGAACGTCCAACATTGGTGCTACCATGGCTGTTGCTGGCTGCGGTAAGGAAGCTGTTGTGCGAGTTGACGTGTCTGGCGCTCGGGTTGGGCACGTGCGTGCTGCTAGGCCCCGGCCGCCCGGCTTGCGTTAGATTCCTTATTATCAAGATCATAACCATCGCCCCCGCTTTTTACATGTGGATCCTTGTTTTGAGGTATGGTTCCTATTGACATGTGTTTGAAGTTGTAGTTACATCGGTGCGGTACGTTAATAATAGGTGTTGTCGCTTTTCGATTTTTAAATGTTGGTTTTCTTCAATAGTTCTACATTACTCCATTACGGTAGAAGAGTGACTTAGAGAAAGTGGAAGATAACTTCTTTAATATTACAGTTACTACCACGCACTAAAGATGACGGTGGCATTCAAAACGTTTCCAGCAGTCGTGCCCTCTGTCGACAGAGACCTGGGTCTAGAGTTAGCTGTACGGAGACGACGCACTAAGTCATTGTTTGGCGAAGACCAATTACGCCGAAAAATAATAGCTGGACTGTAAGTCAATAAATTACATATAGAAAATAAAAATAACTTAAGAATCATTTCATAACTAAAAATAAAAGATTAATATAATATTCTACATATTCGTATTAGTTTGAATATTCTTGAAGGCCGGTTTCTGATAATTTTTTATATTCTCTCATAATGTTTATTCATGGTTATTATTTATAGATATGAAGAAAGACCTCAAATAATCAAACCTCATTCTCCAACACGTCTTACATTTGAAGAAATTCCTCAAGCTACAGCTCCTCTTAAAACCATTGAAGCTATAGCGGAGCCATCGTACGTATGTAATACAATGCGTCCTTTATCGGTCTCTTCTAACAGGACAGTTTCAGATCTTGCCGGATACGAAGACTATTTGGGTAGTGAACTGGTGATTCCAAGAGACACAGATCGCATATTAGAACAATTCATTACAATGTCTTTGCGAATTGCTTATTATTTAAAAAATGACGGAACAACTTCGTCGAAATACCTTGACAGTTTTCCTGCGATGTTAGAAAATAATACACCTCCGCTTCATAGTTCTGCCGAACATACTGAACCGTCTCATTTAGTAGGGAGCAGCAAAGGAAAAGTGGCGTCATATTTAACAAATTATCCCCAAATATTTATGAAGAAGACTTCCGATATTATACAACACTCGAAGCCTGAACTAAACGAATTGATGGATAAAACTGAAAACAAAGCAGTCGGGAGTAGAGACGTGATGTCTTTTGATTCTTTACAAAGTAGTCGTTTTATGGAAATGAGTAAGAGAGAAAATAAAGATCAGTATGAATTGAGTTACGTTTCATCGGCAGCAACGAAAGTTTTAAAAGATAATGCAAACAGTTCTCAGAATGAAGCTGAAATGCAAACTAGCAAATCAAACATTAGTATTGCTATGAAAGTTGAACCAGAAGAAAGTTTTGAATATGTTGTTGCAGAAAAAGAAAAACAATTATCACATAATTCTATTTCAAAGGAAGAAAATAATTTGAATGTCGGAAATAAAAGAGTCGATCGAAATCCAAGTCAATCGAGTCATCAGAATCAATAAATATAATTTTAATACAAAGTAAACATTTTTCAGAGTGTAAATGATACTATATTAACATGCGAATTCAAACTGCAAAATGTTTTTTTTATATAGGTTGTATTATGTTAAATATTTTAAAAGCTATACAATTGAGGCTGACAAACAGTATTTTCAACAGCTTCGACAGGATCGAAATAAATAACACGATAATTGTATTCATTCGGATCTATCAGATTAAATTGATACATTGGCAGTCGGTTTGATATAATCCATGCAAATTGAGGTACTTCATGGTCAATCCGTAAATCGTTGGGGAACACTAATGTGTCAAAGTTTGTAGCTACTATATCCCAATTTCTGCTTTCAAATGCAGTGTACGTATTCCAACATCCGATACTGTCTTGAGATATTAAGTTGAAGAACATAACTCCATTTCTATCGATTGCTGCAGCTGAGACCTGACCGCCTGGTCCTCGGCTATCACCGAGAAGTTTGAACTCGTCCACCGCGTTGTCGACACGAGAGGGATCCCGCAACACAGATGTACTCACAACAAATTCTAAAGAGCTCGACATAGCGTGGTAATACAAAGGCCGGTCTCCAAGATGTACCTTACCTAAAGACATGCCAAATAGTCCGTCACTCCACTGATAATTCAAACCGTGCAAAGTGTAATTCGATAGCAAAGGTTCAGGGTAAAATGTATAGTGACTAAATCTCCAAAATGCTGCGTCGGAATTTCTAAACACGATGAGACCAAAACGCCAGGCATCCGCGATGTAAACATGCAGGTCTCTACATTGAGCGTCTCGTGAATCTACCACGAGATTGGTGATGAGTGAGTTTTGTAGTACGAATTTTTGTGGGATGGGATATTTGCCGATAACAGTGTCTGTGTCTAAATCGATGGCGTATAATGTCGGAGGGCAGAGCTGACGTGGTGTCTCGAAGGCCTCCACCTGTCCTGAGTCCAGCACCCACATCACGCCGCAGTGATCTACGCTCATACGGAATACTGAAGTAAATCCAGTACAGTTACCTGAAATGTTACAATTTTAAATTTGAATATAAGTTAACCCAAAAAAAATAAAAGTAACAATAAAGAAAATTATTTATACATATCAAAATAAGGTTTTTAAACTTTTTTATGAAAAGCCTTTAATAATCACAAAATCCAATAAAAATAAAACGAATAAATGTGTAATAATGCCTGTATCCGTCAAGGTCATCCGTATGTATTTGTTAAATATATAAAGGATTAATTCGTGTTCTTACCCGCATTATGCCACTCCCAGCTGGGATATGGTGTGAGCGGCGGGGACGCCTCCCCCGCTGATGTGGGTAACGTTGACAACGTCACCGGTACCCCTTTTTTCCAAGCAGGAGTACTGATAAAGATCCGGTTTCGCCATCTTTCTATACCAAGCGGTATTACGTTGGTCTGGTTAAACCGCCTATAACATAGATACAATTTCTTAATATTAATCGCAAAATCGAATAATATTCTTACACAATAAATACTACACCAATTGACTCTAAGAGGAAATAAGAACACTATCTTGCCAATGTATCTAAATGCTTAAGTAAGGCAAACTTAAAATTATTAAGACAAATGAATATAAACAAGAGAAGCTGAAAGCATTCTTCAATACAAAATTACCCGTTCGCGATCGCTTGTTGTTTGTCCTGTTCGCTGGGATATGCAAAATCGATTTGTTTCCATCTGTACAGAGTGTTCAGAGCTTTATTCTGAGTGTGGTCTCTATACGCAGCCGTAAACCCGATGCATAATATGAGGCACTGTAACCTCATCTGGAAATTAATATTATATTACGTATACTTATGCTTTAAGTATAATGATACAAATACAGCATCTTCCAAACTCTTTTTTTAATCATTTCATATGATTAAAAATAAAAAGGACATAGTTTCAAATACAAAATTAGTTATTAGAATTCAACGTTGACCGCCCTGTAAACGATGAAACATTAGTAAAATTCTACGTTTCCTTAAATTATTTGTTTTCTTTGATAACATTTGAGAAGTTTTATGAATAGCTTTGTTCAAAAACTGGGTAAATATGTCTACTGAGTGGTTAAATCTACGACACAATCTTAACGGTAACATCATGTCATAACTCATACTGCGCCTTGTACAAGAATCAATCCGGTAACCACTTCACGTTAATGTTCAATTTATGTAATACTTTAGCTTCCTGTAATCGATTAAAAAAATAACTGTCAGATAAAAAGATTTTTATAAAAGAATCGGGGTATTATTCAAGCAATTACTACATGCGAACAGGGCGTTGTTCGTGTTATGAGCGGATTAATTATGAGTTTTACGTTTATTCGATGATAAAATCTTTTGTTCGTTACAGATGTAAAAAAAAATATTCGTAAAGGATACAGTCAAGTTTAAAACAATTATATAGTCAGTTAAAATATAATAACGATAAAAGGGCTTGCCATCTTTTTCTGTATTATAATTTCAATTGGAAAAATGCTTTATAGCGTGGTAATTTATGTAAATTACTATGTAGTAATATCAGTTATAGAAAGAGTGTTTGTTCATCGAATCAAGATCCCATGAAACGTGGATAAGTATGCGTTTTTAGGTATTTTTAGTCTACAATTTATTCAAAAATAGTTACGAAACATGAAAAATTTTAAAAGATGTCAAAATGTTACGAAAGCAAATTTCAAGCGAGTTTGGCAACATTCAAAAAGTCAAACCACAACATGTCACCTGTTTTCAAATTGTTTATTACGCAATACAACATTTTGAGATAGTTTTGTGACATTTTTTTAGAACAAATGTTATATAAGATTTGTTTTTACAAACTTGATATTCAAAACGATAACTGCCTCTTTCAAAAAATTGTCACTAGTTAAACTAACCCAAAATATTTTAAGTAAATATATTACAGCTTACAATTTTGTTAAAGTACATCCAGCAAGATGTTTAAATAATTGTAGGTGAAATTAAATGGTGAATTTTCTGTTTTTTTTTTTCTTAAAAAATCACCTAAAAGTATCTACTTTTAGTTTTTTGATATTGAGAGCTTACGTCTAAATTGCAGAATAATTTGAAAAAAAAAATTTTTTCAAATTCAAAGTCATCATATTGGTACATAACTTTGACCATCAAGTGGTTTGGTAGTTTTTAGACAAGGGCACATACGAATACAACCTCCTACATCGTATTATTAGATACATTTAATTAGCTTAGAATCAACGCCTTTGGCTAACGCACGCAATGTCCTTGTCTACACTTACTCAAAACTACTGTTATTGTGCGTCAGTGAATAAAATTAGTAAAAGTGCTGAATATTATATTTTTGATAAATTTTTAATTAAAAGGGAAGTGCTTTTCTTGACTGAAAGTTTTTTCACGGTATTAAAGGATGTTAGTCAGGCAACAGGACAATTTTACAAAGGAAGGCAACAATTTTTGAACCCATGAGACAAAAAATTTAATATCTTGTTAATTATAATTAAGGTTTCTATTATATATAGGTTATATTAAGGGATAAGGGCAGGTTGTTGATGATATTGAGGTTAAGGTTCCTATTTAATGTTATTACTTAGTAGAAAATAGATTTTTTTATTTATCTTCAATTAAAAAGACATGCTTAGGAACGTCACTAATTCCTTTAATTTAATTTAATTTATTATTTAGCTTCAATATAAAGCAAAGAAATTCAGCACAGATCAAATTATATAAATCCCATAAGTAAATAATTAAATATTCTAATTAAGTTTTATTCTTTAATTTTCTAAATACAAAAAAAAATATTAAAACTATAAACACAAAGTTAAAAAAAAATATTTAGCTGCAATAATTTTCGGACAGTATTCTTTGTTTAAAGTAAAAGAACATTGGATGATACAAGGAAAATATTAACAAGAAAAATTAATTAAAATATCCATATGAGTAAACATTTACCTTAATCAGAATGGTTTTGTGTGAAATAATAAGTCACGTCTGCCCACTGCCCGTTTCCACTTCGTAATGTTACATCGAAGTGCTTTGCGAACCAGAATTTATGCAACCGGTTTTAAATATTTTACCTAGTTATAATATACTTAAAATATTTCAATATCTAATATGGGATTTTGTTGATACGATATTTTTTTGGTTAGGGAAATAATGCGTAACTTAAGTTTAACAACTTGTTTTTAAACATTACCTCATTGTTGTTTTTTCAACTTTTATATTTGTCTGCATTCCTACGTACTGAAAAAGAAAGTACTGTTTTACCGTTTATACCCACCCTTATACTGAATGAGTGTGAATATATATTGTGTTTTTTTTTTAATGTGGCTTTTTATGTATATTATATCAAATCTGTAGTAACTTCCTGTAGTCTAAACAGTTGAGCTAATTTTAATGGAAGTGTCATAGAGTTAGACGGGTTTATTGTATTTTTAGTAGTTATGTAAGTTTAAGGACAAGTATGAAAAATTGTCACCTCTGTTTATTGTAGAGATATATCTTTGTTTCTTTTTCTAGTAACGTCCGACAACGACCTTAAAGTTTGGCCTCTTGAGAAATGTAATATCTAAATAATAAACTTATTGATCTAATACTCCAATACATTTATAAAATAACCCCTTATCGTAGTTATGATAACATTTGGTCTTTTTGGATATAAACTGTTTATTTTATTTTCCTTGATATCAATGTAAAAACCAACGCTTGTAACGCTTGACCGTTATATTACGTGTATATAAAATTATCACTTATCCTACCGAGTCAACTATACTGTTAAACTTTGACAAAATATGATAAAAATTTTAATATCAATAATTTTTGAAAATGCGAGGAATTTGAAAGTCGCTATTCTCATGGCCCAAGTGCAAATTAATTTCCATTTGTACCAAACCACCTTACTTAGCCTTGTCATTATACGTTCACAAAATGACACTAGCAGTTTTTAATTTTTTTATGCCAAATTTATGTCTTGCCGTCTCAGAAATTTGAGAAACAATAAAAGTAAACTAAACAAAAATTCTTCAAAAACTAGTTGATGCCATTAATTTTTTCTGCTCACAATAATTCCATGAAGATCCTTTTAATTTTTTTTTTAAATTGCTATACAACTTTTATCACAATGCCAAGCAAACTTATTTTCATAGATAATTATTGGGAATATTAAAATAGAAATATTATTATACATTTTATAACTTTACTTTTAATAACTTTTCGCGAAGATAAAATGTAATATCGAAATTTATACGGTTGTATAATACACAGCAATATTGTTTTAATATAAAATTTGCTAAACATATTTTATAGGCGTTCATACTATGTTTAAGAAAGCAGTTGTAAGATGTGTGTTCTAATAATTTACTGTGGGTTTCAACTGACGTAAGACTTGTTTTTTGACTTGACAGAGAATGCAAGGTAAGACACTATGTTCTGTGCAATTGAAACTCACAGATATTACGAATTATTGTAATATAAAAAAAAACATCGCATATTTGTACTGTTCAAAAAGTTTTAATACTAAAATATCACTTGTACAGTACTTATAGCATAGTTAATTAAATAGATTCATATTATGGCAACCATTCGTTTGTTACAAGCGGGGAATAAGGAGGTAATTGTAGCTGCGGATCACAAATTGTACCCTGCACAGCTTGTGTCGTGTCCACGTACATTATACGATAGTTGTAATCGTCGTCAGACAAGCTCCCATCTTGGAACATCGGCAGGCGATTAGATATCACCCAAACGCTCTGCTGCTGTTCGTGGTCTACTTTTATATCATTGGGGAACACGAGGGTTTCCGTATTCATAGCTACGACACCCATGGTCTTCTTATTGTACGGTTTCTGAGAATCCCAACAACCGATACTGTCCTTTGAAACCAATCCGTAAAACATGACACCATTTCTATCCATAGCGGAGGCTGACGACTGTCCAAACAGTCCCCGGCTCTCGCCGACTAGTTTGAAAGCATTTGCACTGTCGTTCACACGGGCAGGTTGGCGTAGAACGTCCGTTGTTACTGAAAACTCTCGGTAGCTAGACATCGAATGGAAGTACAGCGTCCTCTCCTCAACATTATTAATCGGAGATAGAGCGAGCCCAAAGATACCGTCGGCCCATTGGAAGTTAAGATCGTGCAGTGTATAATTTGAGGCCAATGGGTCAGGATAGAAAAGATGGTGAGAGAATCTCCAAAATTTTTGATCGCTATGTCTAAAAACTAGTAGACCAAATCTCCAGGTATCAGCTATATACAGATGGAGGTCTGAACAATCTTCTTGCCTGCTATCGACGATTATGTTAGAGAACAAGGAGTCTTGGAGAACGTATTCATCGGGTATTGGATATCTAGCTATCATAGAATCGGTTTGCATGTTGAAAACGACCACGCTCGGCGGACATATCTGTTTGGGACTGTCCTGAGAGTCGATCTGCCCAGAATCAAGCACCCACAGCTTGCCGCACTGGTCCGCACTCACTCGGAACACCGACGTCAACCCGAAACAGTTAACGTCATCGCCTGAAATTGATGGATTTTTTAATGATTAATTTATTCATGCCTGACAAACCTTAATCAAGGAAATCATTAAGTGCGCAAACATGTAATAATCCAAATATTAATAATAACTTACTAAAAGCACGATGGTAGTTCCAATCGGGGTATGGCTTAAGGGCAGGGGAGGTGACTCCGCCGCCGCGGGAAACAGTTGCCAGTGTAGCAGGCACGCCGCGACGCCAGCTCGGCAGCGTCACCCACACGCGCGAGCCCCACACCTCCAGCCCCAGCGGCAGCACGTTAGACGGAATGTATGCCCTGTAATACAATTCATTTAATTAATACGCCGGTTTTGTTGATATTTGATATTGAATCGGAGTTCATAATAAGGAAGGATCAATAAATCCATCACAAACGTCTAATTTATTATAATAATATTAATGGTTTTCTTCTTTGATAATTCTTAGTTAGGCCTCCGGCATGTACACACGTCAGACGAAACGCGTAATTTCTTCCACTTCACGACCTTTTTCTTTCATGGTTTTGCAACGATCGACCCCAAAAATATTGTTGTTGCGGGATCTACCACTGTCAAAATGATTGTGATTGAAATTTCATTACAGTATTTGAATAAATTGTTATTTCCACTAACATTCCTTTAGTAAGACCATTTAACTTAGGTTTCTCAATGTTTGTTAAAGTAAATTGAGTAATATAGACCACGCGGACATTACGCGTACTGTGGGCTCGGTCCATCTCGTGCCGACTCGATTTATTACCATAGCAAGTTTTTAATTACAAGTCTAATTAGCAGGCTATATATGTTTTACCACTATACTGATAAGTAAAGGCTTTCTAGCTAAAATTGTTAAGTCACAACGAAGCTACTTCTTATGCTGCTGAAAATACCTATTCAATAATTATTTATTACACAGAAAGTTCATATTTAATACAAATTTAATTGACAAAAAATATTAAAAACCCGTGAGATTCACTGCCGAATCGCCTGTAGAAAAATTCACTGCTGATAGATAATAATATTTTTTCGAATTAGCGCCTCGATAAAATCAGCCCAAGGCAAGAATTTGAAAATTCTTTTTGCTTTTTAATCAATGATAATACGTATTTTTAAACAATTTAAGAATAACAGAGCCGGAATATTCTCACTGTGTGAGTGCCTTTATAAAAAAGAATAGATTTTAATCATCGTAGCCAGCGCAGCGTAAACAATAAGAGTTACTCGTACATTTTATGATTGATTGTTCATTATTTAATTAGTTAATTTATTACTGAACCATATAGGATATTGTTTGTAATATCCTCATTACATATTATGGTTTATTCCATTCAAATTTAATATTTTGTGTGCTCCACTTTCATTTCATGAATTGAAGGATGGAATAATGTAATTTAAATAAGTCAAGTTATTGTATTTACTGTTACTACTCTTTCATACATCACTCATAGTCGTCATATTATGAATTAACTCTCTTAAGTATATTCTCCTTCACACAATCTTCTTTATCAGCGAATAACGTCAGCTTAACTTTATTTGTTTTCGAATAAAATTGGAGCTAAAAGCTAGTTTATTATTCTACATGTTGTATACCTGGAGATAAGTGCTCTGCGTCTATGCTGAACGCTGGGGAATTCAAAGTCGATCGTCTTCCATTTGTAGAGCGTGCTGAAGGGCGGCGTTTCGGAGTCCGCGGGCACCGACTGCGGCCGCGCGAGCCCCAGCATCGCCAGCCATAGAGTCAGCGCTGCAGGACGACTGCGATCTGCAAATTGTCAGTATACAATTTTATTACTTGACTTCTTTGCTCGTCTGGCATGTTAAAACCGTGGTTATCTAGAGGCCTAGCTGTTCTACTGTCAATTTTACTAACTGTACCGTACTATTTTTATGGTGAAAGGCTTTATGTGACTTATTTAGTACAACTTATTACTATGTTATCAATGAACTCTACTCACACATAGTCTATCGATTGGAGAAGGTAATTACGGTCACACACGAAACACTGAGAAGCGATGAGTATGTTTGACGAACTCCGGCAGTATAATGGCTACTGATTGTTTGCCGTTTCACTGGACGGTTCATTCATGAATGTGTTTGCTTAATATGCTTATGATATGATAACATTTGAGGATAATTGTGACGTCACACGTCCACTGCCAATACTCATCCGATTTAAATATTTTATATAAACATTGGAAAGCTTGGATTTAATTTAATAACATGGAACATTGTGTCATAATTGTAAGGAATTCAAAACAATCACTGCCTGCCATTGCATTGTGTGAGTCTGTGAGAGTGTTGATTGAGTTTTAGTCGTTTCATAGACCATAAGGCGCGTGTATAATGAAAAACTAGACAATGTGATTGAACTATTTTCAGAGAAAGATAATGAAGAGTTAGAAAAATACAGGTTGGTAGTGTCTCTAAACAACATTGCAAAAATCTGATGGAGGATGATTGTAAAGTAATTACCTTTAAGTAATTTCTCTACTCTAATTAATATATGTCTTTTTTTATTCAAAACTACTATAAGCAGATTAAGTAACATCGTTTTGAACGTAACTTGACGCACTATATAAGTATTTTTCACCCTAATCTTTTGAAATTGAATTTCTTTTAACATTTTGATTTATATTTGTCATGAAGCTTTAATGAAACTGGGAGTTTTAAGTATAGAATAGGTGATGTTAGGTTTCGTGAAAGTCGTGCAACCTGTTTCACGTTCCTCGTGTGTTGCTTAACACAATATTACTATCTAAAGATTGTCGTGACGTTCAGGACATATAAGAAATCAGAAGTGACTAGTAAGTTTTCTAGTTTAAAGTTTTATTGTGTCGGTTGAGTTTTTTTAATTAAATGTTTATAATTTTTTATCACCATCGTAATTATTTAGACATGTTAAAGACTGTTAACAGCCTTCGTCATACAATGAATATATTTTTATTTTGTCATCTCCGTTTTTTTTAAGAGTATTAGTGAACAATATAGTTTTATACAAGTATCTCGACAATAGGAACCCATAGTTAGTGTTATTTTGGCACAGAGACTATATCATCTTATATAAAATTCAAATTTTCGTTCCCATTCTCCTCCGAAACGGCTTGACCGATTCTCATGAAATTTTGTGAGCATATTGAGTAGATCTGAGAATCGGCTACTATTTATTTTATAATCCCGTGCGGACGAAGTCGCGGGCGACAGTTAGTAATATATAGAATTATTCGAATGTCATTTATAAAAGCTGATAGTTAAAAAATACTACGGCTTCAATTTCTGGCTGCTGTAAACGTTCTTATTTTAATCCTCCTACATTAATAACAGACCTAATTACAATTGCCATTTTTGTGTTTAAGAATAAACAGGTTTATGCATTTTGAAAATTTTAAAATGTTCGCAATCTTGATAACCTTCGAATTGAATAGTTTTTTAGTTCAAGGTGTACGGTATAAAATGGATTTGGATTAAGACAGAAATTATTTCAAATATCTACCAAAATAATGCTCGTTTATAAAATAGATTTTTTAATTTATTATTCCCGTAAAGAAAATGCTTAGAAAAAAATCCTAAGAGAGGTAATCTTTATAACATTTTTTGGTTGTAATTCTATATATCCATAATTGCACAGTGTGTTAGTAACTTGCAATTTTTTTGATATACACTTTTTTAATTTAAATATGGGTACGTGAGGAAATCAAAGATATGTTCAATTTTAACGCTTTACTATATTTGCAATACGCAAGGTTACGTTACGCTTTTGCAAGTGCGACTGAATTGATGTTGTTTATCGAAAATTTTGAATTTTTTAGTCAATATTTTACGTTACCTTAATTTTAATGACTACTTTTGGTATTGTATGACTCATACTTTTAACATTAAAATGAATCTCGATTCATGTGTTTTAAAAAAATAATCGGTACGGATTTTTATTACTCGAAAGCATATGCGTACGCTTTTGGAATCTAGTAGATTGAACATGACTACTAAAAAACTAAACATGTCGCTGTACTGCCTCCAAGTTCATAAATCGATTGGTTTTAAAATTATCTTTCTGGGCAAAGTAGACCTAGGCTGATGAAGGTAAGTTTTTTGTCATAATGTGTTCGTAGTTCATAATAAATTTGATGATTTCAAAATGTTTTACGGTAAGTTTGAATTAGTTAGCCTACATGTACTGTGGAGAACACAATAGGCTTTGGGCTATAACCATATTTATACCATTAGCACAAGTTTTCGCTTTATTGCTTCCGCACGAGCGCTGATTCAAATGTTAAGTTGAGGTTACACAACGTAATTTTATATAATACGAAGATTATAATGACCGTTGTAACTGTTACAGAAAACTAATAATTATTAACAGGACTACGGCTCAAGCTCGTAACTCATAAGATAAGGAATACATTATAGATTACCTGTAGGTGCTGTTCCGGCACACAACTCTTGATTTTCCTCATTCATGTATATTCTTTTAGACCATTCAGTTTTACACTATGCAAAAGATAAAGCGTTCATGAACTTTTGGAAAGATATACCTAACAATAATTAATAAAAATCCGCCAGTGTGTTACCAACTTTATTTGGCTCGCTTTCTCTAGTGTTGTACGGCGGTTGTACGCGCGAACTCTACAACCATGCCTATGTCATTAAAACTCTGTTATCGATTTTTATCATGCACAATTGTACAAAAAAATTTTACCACGTGTACTTTAAATGATAAAAAAAAAATTTAAAATTTTAATTTTCGTAAATAGTGTAATAAATAATTAGATTCGGTCATTAAAAATATTGTTGAGGTAAAGAGAAATTTATACTCTACGGTCACATCTCGGAGGCGTCTTAGAAAGTGATTATTTCTCAGAAACTATCCACAATACAATACTAAAGTAGTGAAAAGGTTTTAGCGCAGTGCTCTTGTGCGTAATCAATTGACTAGAAAACTTTAATAAGTTGTTAGTCGCCGTAGTATATTCACAAAACTTAGCTATTGGTTTTGACTGGAGTCAAACTTGTATTAATACATTTTATTCTCTTTCGTTATATACTAATGTCACTGCAGTGGAGTTCAGTGGTCCTAGCACGAATATTTGTGACAATCGCCTTCGTATCGACATCGACAATTTTTTTATTAAAATTTGTAAAGCACCCCCTATCGTCAGTAAAGTACACCAAAAGTCTCATATTAATTTAGACGTAATTGACGAAGACGATACGGTGGCCAAAGTCACAAATATTCGTGCTAGGGCCACTGATGTAAAACTGAAGTTGCATTGATCATCTATGTTATAATCTACTACATATTAAAAAGGATTTTAATTTTAAACGATTGAATTATCAGACTTGTAAAATAATATTTTTTTCTGGTTAGTAAGGTTTGAATGTTTTTGCTTGTCGATTGTTTACATGAAGTTAATCGCTTATTCGACTTCTTATAACTTAAAAAACCTAAGTAAATAATACCAGTAAACTTTGTTCCGCGTAAAAAAACTATTAAAGCACAATTTTTAGCTGAATGAGATTATGTCAGGGATAGAAAAAAGTCTAAACTTACAAGCATTTTGTTAAATTAAATGTTTTTTTTAAACAAAAAAGATTTCCTTCTTGTATTATGTCTACTGGTAGTGTGATTTAATTTTGTTACAGTATATTTAAAAATAAATAGTTCATATATAGATAAAACTAGAATCTATTATTGATAAAAAGTAAAATGTATGAAGAATTTATAGAATCTTGTGTTTTTTGACATTCGCTTCGTAGAATTTGATAAACAAAATAACTATTGTAAATTATGGTCATACTGTATTGCTGATTAAAAAATCTTTAGTCAATTTTAACACAGTAGTGTACTTTGTTATTTTAAACAATATGTACATTGTGTAACGAGCTTCTCTTGAAACATCTGCATAGCAGTCTCATTAGTCTAGTTGCTCACAGTGTGAGTTAAATGCATAGGTTTTTGGGTTCAAATCTATCAAATGATTGTTGTAATTCGTTCGGAATTTGAAATGAAACTTGAACAACATAAACATTCTTACCGGTAACATTTAATGGACGATATCTATCATATTTAATTATATTATTCACTCTCTGCTGTTGTATTTGTTTTTCACGATAGCTGTTTCGTGCCACGACTTGAGCATCAAGAGGATTGTAGGTTACACGTCCATAGTGATGATTATTCCAGTTTGAATGTACATGATCATACTGTCTTGAAATATCCGCAAAGACCACAGAAGGTGATGACCACTGTAAGAACCACTGATGCGAAACCGCCATTTTATAAACATACACTACACTAGTTTGTTAACACCTTTATTAAAATATTTTTTTACAACATACTAGTATGTTTACACCCTAAATGTCACTCATTGTATTTATAATTTGTATTTACAATCGATTATGTTAACACTTTCGTTGCTCACGTGTGGTCAGTACTGTTCTCGGTTTGATCTGACGGTAAAGCAAGCGAGCCGCTTTACACCATCCGACCCCTCTTATGACCATTACGATATCACGTGCGGTGTAAAGATAACTTCCATATAGTTAAATATCAAGCACCTAGTTGATCTAACTTTCATTTGTGCGAAGTCGACTTTATAAATGCTAACTAATGAATGCGTTTTGTAATAAGAGGTTTTTTTGTGCACTTTTAATCAGTTGAGATGAAGGTCGTTTTGTAAAAGCATTTTGATATAATCAAACGTATGCTTAAAAGCATCTTAATTCGGATTATAAATTAATAAATAAACGTGCGACCTCCCGCAACTATTATTTTGATACTCCCAGAGAATTTAAATGAAATAAGCGCCTTTTAATTTTGGTGTTAAACTTACTGACAACTAGCAACTTACCGTGGGTTTTTCACTGAGAAAACATCTGTACAAATATAGTATCTGTTTCTTTTTAGAAAATTAAAGGGACCTTATTTATTGCTAGCCATTTACTAAAGTAAATAAAATAACGTAAGTTTTTTTAAGTCGCGATGTAGTAACTGTATCAGTCGTGAATTTAATTATCTTAAGAATTCCATCTTCATTCCAGGCGCACCTATATTAAGTACTTCAAACGAGAATTAGTGAAAGGGAATATGTACTGTATGCGATCATTTTAAGAACAAAGCGATTACTATTTTGCTAAGACAGAGAAAAACAAGGCAGTAAATAAATATTAATAACTTTTGTATTGAATAATTTGAATCTTTGCTTACAATGGGACTGAAGTTAGCAAGTTTACTATGATTCAATATTTTGTATATTCTTAAAATTTTATCTATATTTGATTCCTCGCAGAAAGACAATATTATATTAAAAAGCAGAGTAAAATGAATTAAAAACTTATTAGATCATTTTGGCTGCTGATGACTATTCGAATCTAAACTATCATATTAAATAATCGTAATCCGTCTAACAAATATACTTTCTCTTTATTATTCAACTAGCTGTCGCCCGCGACTACGTCCACGAGGAATTAAACAAAAATAATTAATTGCCTATGTGTTTTTCGAGACTATATTCTACTTCTATGTCAAATTTCAGCGAGTTCCATTAAGCCGTTTTTGACATACTTTCTTACAAACATACATCCATCCATCTATGAAAACATTCGAATTTATAATGTTAGTAAGATTACTACAAAAGCAATACTTACGTTATTATTAATTTATTTTACCTCAGTTATACCGATTAATTACATATTAATATTAGATTATTAGAATTATTATGAGTAATCATTAGATTAAGAGGAGCAATATATTCACTATCATGAAACTTAATGTTATAATGAATAGCATTGCGCAAAAGATTAATGTTATGCTACATTCACACGAGAGCAGAATAGTATACAGTGTAGTACGGATTAATTGAATGCGCGTACACCAACACTACTGTTCTATCCAAACAATATCAGTACTGACTTAATGTTTTATCCTACAGTTCTGCCTCACTGTGCTCCCTCGTGTGAAACTAGCGTTAGCTTCATAATCCCCGGAGCGCTTATGCAAGACAACAAGGCTTAAACTAGGCAATGAAATCTTTTATTACCATCAGAACATTTGAATGTAGTAACTATAATTTTGACTGAACATACATTGCTTATGAAATCCTTGTGAAAATATCTTCCAAAAATTAAGATTCATTTTCCATTTTTATTACACTTGTAGACCAACATTAACATTTTAAACAGTTTATTTTATAACAATAATAGCTGCCGCCCGCGTCACCGTCTGCGCGTTATAAAAAAAATCTTCATTAGTAGGCAATGTGTTCTGGAGATACCTTGTAACAAACAGTTATCCATATATGAAAACTTAAGTATATTTTTATAATATTCTGTAAGATTCAATTTACTTTCGTATAAAATAGATTCAGACTTTGTAAGTGACGAACTAGATAACTGGGGAAAGATAGCTTTCCATTATATACTTTATTTTCCAGCTTTCTAAACACTGACGTCATCAGGATATCAAGAAAGAGTCTTCAGATTGGAGATTATCACAAATGCAAAAAAACTCTTGGAATACATAAAGATCAAGCCAATCTTCGGAAAGGATGGTAATATGGCCAGTAAACATGACGGAAGATTAACGTTATCTTGCACCAGTTATTACCCAAATCCTATAAATGTTACAGCTTAACCTAATTTTGCTGTAAAAGCTACTCGTTGCATTTTTATTGGCTTCTAACAAGTAATATATTGTGCCAATCAGCGGTCAACGTGTGGTTCTTTTTTTACGATATGCACCACGTTAATTTATCCGCAGTTTATTTCAATATGTATGTGAAACAGATTGTGTTCCTAACGGCTTTTGTAGCTGCAGTTACTGCTATTTATCCATACTTTGACACACAAGACTTTATATACAATATTCCGAAAGTATATAGGATATCAATTACGTTGGATAAATTGTTGGAATACTACGAAAAGAAGCCATCGAAGGATCCGGAATGGTTTATCGCTTTGGGTGTTGCAAGAGGTATGTTCTATTTCAATTGCATCTTATTGAATAAAGTTTCTCCTTCTCTAACTCTTCTTTGTATGTCTTTATTTTAAGTAAAATTACATAATAAGTTACAACACTAGCACTCAACTTTCAAATTAATGAACGCCTTATGAATTTTTATAGCAAAATAAATTTGGAGCAAATTTAAATATTGTATTTTGTATAAATTCAGGTCAATTGGAATACACTATAAATGAACTGGACAAATCAGTGCCGCCGAAGTTGAAAGAAAACCTTCAGAATATTACTAGGAAGATGGATAGAATTCGAAATAAGACTGATACGAGTAAATTCAGCTATCGCAGTAAAGATTATGAATATGGTAATATATTACAACTTATTTGCAAATAAATAAAATGTGCGTACAGAACGATAGGATGTCGCGATTGTCAGTTTACGCGGACACTACTCTTTTCATCAAAACCAATCCATTTATGTAATTAGAGGTTATATTTAATTTTGTTTATAACGATATTGAAATTTATTTTTAAAAACAATACAGTTACAATACTTATTTGCCCTCGTAAATGAATAGTAAAAGAATATATGGTTCCACTTTAAATGTAGGTAATTTATAATAGATGCAATAAAAAACAATTTAAACTCCGTTAGAATATCATAAAATTTGCGAAAATGAACTATCACCCTGTATTATTTACTTATTATAATATACAAAAATGTCTTATCAAAAACCTAAAATGTTTGTCAAGGGATTATTACTAAAACTAAAACAAAACTACAAGATAGAAAGTTTGTAAGTAGAAAGCAGTCTCACTCATTGATATTCATTAGTTACGGCGTAAATATCCATTGTTCCGGTAACATTGATAAACAAACACTAAATGTCGTATCCAAAGCCTCTGATGGTTACTAAAAAAGTCGCTTAGTATATTTCACATACTAAATGTGACCATGTAACGTCTCTGAGTACGGTAGCTAAGACTTAATATAAACAAAAGAGAAAGAGTGGAAGAAATTGAAAAAATTAAATTGTTAGATTTAAAAAAAGTACCTACTTATTTTATGAACTCCAAGATCGAAATTATTCAAAACATTTTAAACACAACACAACAAAGTAAGCAACAGTGCTTAATTTTAGAACATGACAAAAAATCAGTTGTAGCAACCGCATACATTAAAATGCTTACATTGGTATTGACCCAAGAAACAATTGCGTTGTACGTTGTAATACACGAAATTCTTTGTCTAGAGAAAGGCAGGATAACGATTAAAGATCTACTCACGTACGGTTACCTAGCATTCGGCAATATGCGCTTCGCAAACTTGATTTACAATCTAAACCAGGTCACAAACCGTGCACTTCTATCCTCCTTGATCAAGATTATTGTGTAATAAAGATTAATTATAAAATTAATTTAAATCTTTTGATTACAGTTAGGATGGAATACATTTTATTGGTTAACATATAATATGAAAATGAACATATTATACAACAATAAACTTCAAAAAAAATTTTTAATTGTGATATAATATGCGAAAATAACGTTTATGCAATTAATTGTTTACTCTTAATCTCTAATTCATTTGGTCATTGCATCACGCGTACGTATGGAACGATCTCGCTAATTCATTTTGTTCACAATAGACAAATTAAAAGTAAATATAAAACATTTGAATCCAATATTTATAGTAAAGACAGGATAATGTCGTGTCAGCATTTTGTATAAAATATTCAACAATTATTGCAGTATGCAATCATTATTAATTTGTAATTGCTTATTTTTGCCAACTTGCGCTTTAAAAAGCACAACGCTACTTTTTTTTAGTTTATTTGACTTTGTCCGATCAGTCGCAAGAAATGCAATTGGGGCATTTCTTTTAGGCGCTAATGACCGTTGTGGTGTAGTTTGCACTATTTCAGAATGATTTTACACAAACAAAAACTTCGTTATATTTGGCATTCCAATTGCAAAAAATAATAATGCTTCGACTCGAAATATATTTTGTTGGTTTAGACCATTTGTTGTAGGCTCTCCTTATTATGTGCTATTATTGCTAATTATAAGCTGGTTTTATTAGAAAACTTAATATAAAGGGCTTTTACAAAACTCGTTCTAATTATGTTTTATTCAATATAAATTCCTTTCAGATTCTTTTTCATTATGAACATCATGTACACATAAAAGGTCCTATATTTTTTTTAGTGGTGAAAGCAATAATAGAGAATATGGACGTGCTGTCATCGTTAATGGAGCCACTGACACTGGGCACGGTGGGGACGCAGAAGCCATATAGATTTAACTTCGAGCAGTACGTGCAGGAGGCCAGGACTAAGATGCCTACCAGGAAAGCAGCCGGTATTCCATCCTATTTTCTAATACGTTAAGCAAAAATGTTGTATACGTTTTTAAGGAATTTTCGCGATCGGATAAACGTGACCAGTAGTTTTTATAAATACTTCTGAAGAAGGTTGCCAGTGTGAAATCTGCAGTTGGTCTGGTTGTCTATAGCCGTCATTGATCCTCGAAGACCTCGGTGTTCCCGCCGCTTCTTTACCACATTCTCTTATAAAAGTAGGTCTAAGAGACTGAGGTTTTAATGTTTATTTTACAATAGATCACTGGATTACAAATATGGCTTGCATGTAATTTCTCACAAAATTAACCGCAAAATTAACCTCTTTATATAAAATACCTATTTAAATGCTAAATCGACATGCGTGGTTTGTTGAGATTTCAAATCTTGCAAGATCTTTTACAAAATGTTTTAGTAGTAATTTAACGTGGTTAACATGAGCCCATAGATACTTAACAAAAAATTACGTAAAAATAAAAATTTAAATGTTTTTCTTTTATAACAGTGATCGTATTGAAGTTAGTGCTATTATTGTTGTCGTGCGGCCTTTATGTAATATATTTTTTGCATAATAATATAATGAAATCAATATAATATAGCGTTATTATCATTTTCAGTAAATAAATTTAGCTGTAGTTAAAAAGCAACAGTTAAAACCTTTAAGATCTAATGTAAATATTATTTTATATTTAAAGGGAAATAAAGCTTCGTTATCTTATTATTATTGACGTGTACCGAATATTGAAAACCCTGGTGACGCTGGGTAAACACTTAGTATTATATAAATCGGTTCCTTTCAAATACATATACGATATTATTTGTATAACAGAGTATTGAACATGAAAATTAAGAGTATCACGAACTGACTATTGCTGGGTACACTTATGACAGTAATAACACTTGCGCAACTGATAGCTTCTATAATAACCGTAGACATCGATAATAACGTAATAATCGAACGGTGCATAAATACTTTCTGTCTACACAACTTATTTCTAGACCATTATATGCTTGCCTAATAACGTTCGTATTCTATTTGATATTAGAAATTTAGAAATAAACAATATGTTTTATAGCATACGAAGATTTGTTTAATAATAGACACGGTAAAGAACAGTAACCTAAAACCAACAGCAACAAACTAATGAGTTGCAGATACATTGCTATTTTTATTAGGTAGGAGTGAATTAAGAGGAATAAATATGTTTTCTTTTCGTATCCATCCTCCTCCCTTGACATCCACTTCCCCTTCCTCTTCTCATCCCTTGCATCTTATTATAGACCATTTCTTAAGTTATTTCGTCTATAAATAAAAGCTATGTCTTAACAGATGCTTGCACAATGCAGTTACTGATATCAGCAATGGAAACGCAAACAACACAATCAGAGGGCGCTTGTGAGCTCACACCAGAATGTCAGGCACAACTGATGAAGGGGTCAGGGTTGGCGTTTCAACAGACAAGCCGGGTGCGAGCGGCAGCCCTAGCCCGACTCTTCGACTGCATGGAAGGCTTAGATCTCTCAGCACATATTTATAAGCTTTGCATACAGATCTACAAAGAAAGTAAATCATTGGAAGCTTGGGGTCATCCTCCTGGCACTAAGACGCTGTTTCTGCAACAGAGTATGTCAATTTGTGTAATCTTTTGTTTCACAGGACTTTTTAAACAATATGTAGTGAGTGCAAAAAAATAATAATAAAGTAATTGATACTTTTTTTCATCAATTACTAATTTTATTAAGTCATAAAGTATAAATTAATGTTGCAGTAATCTAGAGAAAGACCGAATTATGTATTTGTTGTGATATTAATAATAGTACCACTTAATAGTATGAATAATGTATTAAAAATCAAATTAAGCAATTAGTTAATGGGAGTTCTATTATCGGCTTGAGCAATAATATGATATAATAAAAAGAATATGAAATTAGTAAATTGTAACTTTCAACTAAATAATATTTCGTAATAACGTAAAATCTTATTATTAAAGAAACGAAAGTGTTAATACACTTTAGTCGCGTAATTATTTTTTTTTTGTTTTTTTTAGTTCTCTACTGCTCATCGCAAGGTTACGGTGAGTTCATAAAACCTCGTTGGATGAACAAAATCCTGGCGTGGCAGGAGCCTAAGGGATGCTACTCTGACGATCGACAATCTTTCCTGAAGCTCACAGGATTTGTCGGACCAGCCAGTTCTCCTCCGCCAAAAGACAGAGAGGTAAAAATACAATGAAGCTTATGTAACTCATAGGCATAATTTTCGTATTACAAGTGAAGGAAATTCACATATTTTGGCCCCTCATCACTGTTGGACCGGAGATTCGTCGTCACACTATTTATTATTGTGTTTTAATTTACAGGAGGAATACCGTGTGAAGAAAGTGGCGACATCAGTGGGCGGATCGTGCAATTCTCTTACGTCAGCCATGGCTTTAGGCTCACTCGTTATGTACGTGCGAGCGCTTTTGGAAACAGACCAGGCATTCCAATATGATGTGCTCATGTAAATTTAATTACAGATATCTACATCTTGATTTTTTTTATTCGATATTAAAGTCGTTAGCAATAATTGAACTTTAGGTTAACCGTTTCCTTGTTTTATTCATGAAAAAACAGCAATAATGGAAATAGGGATACTAAAGAAAATAAACGTAATAATGGACATAACTAATTAAAATAATTTATTTACTATACATATTAAATCTACTAATTACTTGCTATTTTCTGCACGTGTGCAGTCACCGACACGTTCAAAGTTTTGTATACTGTAATGTTGTGACGTCATTGGACTCAGACCTCACGTTCCTGTGTTCGATTAGTAAGTAGATTAAAACCAATAGTTGTAGTAAGTAAAGGTGTTGAGCAAATTTTCCATCATCGCGCGCACTTCTAGAGATATGCACCATATCTGTAAGTAATATAACTCTCCTCCTTTGGCGTTATGATATTCGCATGGTAACCATGGCCTTGATCCTTTGGGGGTATCGCACAAGGGGAGTTCTTTAGTAAGTTCGGGATCTTCTCGGCGTTAATTCTGAAATTCACCTCGTTAGTGTTGAGCGTTTCTGTCATTACTTTCTGGAACCGGCACGTCATCACCCAGAGTTCCTGCTGCCCTTTTAGGTTATTGACGACCTTGACGCCGCTAGCGAACTGCAGGGTTTCCTTGTTAATCGCCACTGGATGGAAGTTTCGTGTGGAGAATTCGGTAGCAGAGTTCCAACACCAGACGCTGGGAGGGTCCATCAGACCGAAGTAGAGGATACCGTTGCGATCCATTGCCTCAGCTGCTGCCTGATTTGGTCGCTCCTCTGGGAAAGGCTGTTAACAAGTGGAACAATAAAAATATAAATAATGACTTCAAGTAAGAGATTTGTTAGTAGAATATATTACACTTTAGTTACTCTTTATGACATTTATATTATTTTGTAAACTTGCCATAATTTAGTTCAAATTTAGTTTATAGAGATGACTTAACTTTTGTACCCATTCTCCAAAAGAAATAACATGATATACTAGTAACTTCTAACTAAGTATAGTTTTATTGTATATGTTTAGAAAAATAGCTATAAGAGAATTAATGTTTATTGTTTGATTCCTGATGTATACTTACATTCATAGAGTTTGCGGGTGCGTTAATGTTCTTAATGAAGGTGTCGTTCCTGAGCAGGCTGGTGCTGACCACGTTCTCTGTGGTGGAGGCTAACGCGTGGAAGTACAAGTAGCGCTCGCCGTCCGGTCGTAGAGGCGACAGAGCCATGCCCAGCACACCGTCCATCAGTTCGAAAGACTCATCTGAAAATAGATGCACCTCTTGTTATAATATTATACGTTATACTTTAAGTACGTATATATACTTTAATAAGTCTGAAAGTAGCAACGCCTAAAAATTAAGAAACAAAAGGTGTTGGCATGTTATGAGTGACGATTGAAATGACGGAAGATAGATCGATCTGGACGACTAAAACCTAGTGCGGCCCTTTCCTAAAATCCTATTTCTCTTTTAAGTATAGGAATCAGGGCATAGTAAATACGACTCTTTAATAGTCGTCTTTAATGCGATCGCTTGCAAAGAAGTTTTTAATACAGATAATAGCTAACTAACTTTTTGCATGCAATTTCTGTAAGAATTGGATGTATTTTCTTGACAGCCAGTTATATCAACGTTAGGCTAAGAGGTTATCGACTCAATGTTCTCGATATTCTAAAGACATCGAGATGATAAATAGACTTTCGAGAGATTTGTTTTTAAATTAAATTAATAAAGCAAACGCAATGAGGTCATTACGATCGAATTATTTTCGAGTATCTGTTAAACAACCCACAAGTTTGTGGTTCAACTACTCGTGGTCTGTTCAACTATTCGTGTCTACCAATAGGCAATGTTTGCTGTTGTTTTATATGTATTACGTTAGTATTTTGTTACTAAGTCAAGTGTCATAATTATTAGTGAAGGGACGTAAACGTCGCCATTTTAGTAAAGCTAGTGTTGCGCCAGTACACCGGAACAGTGTCGGATTTTCTTCCTAACAGTTTATTGATAAAGATTTGGATAAATTATAATTACTCTGTATGGTGAATGTCCCTCTTGAGGGGAAGGGATAAGTAAGGCGGTGTTTGACTCGCCAAGTACGATCGTTGACTACGTCCAGAACTAAAAAGCCGAAGCCAGATACGTCCGCTACGTAAACAAACGTATCCGCACAACTGTTGCCCTTCTTCCTCACGTCCACCACCTGCGAATTTATAAATAGAATTAATAGGTTGCAGCATGAAATGACGTCACGACTGACATCTAAGTTGGACTATGTTAAGGACCATCTCGTTGATATAAATATCTTGTCTTTTTTATTGCTTTTATTGGGTTCAGTAGACATACGACATCTTTCGCTCCTCGTGCGTTAATATTAGTGAAAGTAGATTTTTTCGTCGTCGTTTAATTATAGAATTTTTACAATCAATGACTGTATTGCGGAATCACTTAAGTGCAGTTCACACAATATTTACTAATTTTGTCATACCCTTGACCACCTGGGGTCTGTCTGGGGTTTTTCCAAGAATATATTTAAAGTCCTTTCAACATTGAACACCTTGAAAGTGTTAAGAAATAAGTTTAATAATATTTGTGAGCCAGATGGATTGTTTTTAAAAGTTTATCACGTCACTACGTCATGGTCACTGGTAAATCCAAATTTGTATACCATATAATTTGATGCATAAGATTAATAAGATGGCTTACAAAGATACTGAGATATACGATTCCCCAATGCTACGGTTACAAAGCAATATATTATTTGTCAACAAAAACTGCAATGTTTATAAATCTAACTCAGTAAATATCTGTAAATCTAACTTCGAGCTTAGGGTTAGCCCGAGCCCCTCAGTGGGGAGTTGTATCGGTTGTTAGATCATTATATTTAGGAAATTATTCTTTAGACAGATATTTTAACACGACACATTGAGTCTTCCTTTACCCTAAATTATAACAAAACGGTTTTGTAATCTGGTTTCGATTCTAACCCATCCCCGGAGTGGATTACGAGAACTGTTAGTTTTAATAACTATTTTATTATATAATGTCGGCACTCTTTTATCATCGGAACACGTTCAGTGTCACCGACTCGCTCTAGGTAGCTTCTTTAATAAATAAAGTCATAGTGGCATTAAAAGTGTTGACTCACTCACCGGTGTAATGAATAGTGATTCGGTTGTGTAGCTGGTGTTGGCGACTTTATGTCTGTAGATCAGCTCGTCAGTGTTCAAGTTGAATGCGAGGACCTGCGGCGGACATCTCTGCACTTCTCCTATTTTACCCGTATCCATTACCCAAAGACGGTCGCATTCGTCAATCTGAAATGTACAGTCGAGGACATTTATTTCCTACCCACAGAATGCAAATGAGTGTCGTAAACTCGACATAGCAAAACCTATACGAGATCAAACTTCTCGCTACCAAAACATTTAAAATTACTACCGAAGAGAAAACATTTTTATGTACGTAAACGTTTTTTTTATAAATGTGCTCTATTGATACAGGTCATCTATAAACAAGTTAGTATTATGAATCGTGCAAACAGAAGTTAAAAAATAATATACTTTGAAATAATTTCCCGAAAAAACATCTAATTTTTTAGGTTTATTATGTTGTTAATGTTTCAAAGGACCTTTTTTGAATACTTACTGCAACTCTGAAGACAGAGGTCATGCCGTCACAGTTGTATCCCTGGTTGTCGTGCCAGGAGTAGTCAGGGTAGCCTCGAATGCGACCATCATCTTCAACAACGCCGAATGTCACCGGCCGGCCCGCGTCGAACCGCGGTATTGATACGAAAATGCGAGACTTTTGGGATCCTAACAACAATAGTTTAGAGCTTAGGTATCTTTCTAGGTAGTAATATTTCTTTATTTAAAGGAGCAATTTCAAAGTGGCGAAATGTTTACTTTTATTGAGCAGTTCGATAATAAGTTTCTAAAAAGGATTAAATAGTTATTCTCTGATTTATCATCCTTCATTCATTTCGCTACATCAATGGAATAGTAATCAAACGCATTTGAATTATCTTGCATCTATCTATAGTAAAAGACATCCTTTTAACAATGGCAAAGTCTGACTCGTTGTCGTATCATCGGCCTTAATGCATAGAGTTAGTCAATACCTATATTTTTCCAGGTCAGGAACAATCGGTCCATCATCTGAGTCACACATTTACACACTATTTCTATGCTATCTTTTACAACACTCGTGATGCATATGGTATATATTAAGCGTTAGCGGATGACCGCGACTTCGTCCGCATGGAACATTTTTTTTTTTAAATACCCGAAGTATTTACTCTTTAAGTCTAGTCTAATTAAGTGTTTTTCATAATAGTACTTGATTCTGGGTTATGCAATTTCATTTTATACACCTTATTTAGATATATTTACTCTTTAAATGTAGAAAACATTGACAAATTTTAAGTCTAAACTATTATTTTATATATGTAAATATTTGCATAATTCGCGTCGATTATTAAATGATGCTAAGTTTATTGTGAAACAATTGTGTTTAAAATTCATACAATAAATTACAAACGTATAACACAGGCCTGTTAGAAACACTGTGCATCTAGATATGTAGATTTATTTTATATTATCTAGGCTAAAAATATAATTTTATGCATGACTTTAAAGCGGATTATTTAAACGATTCCTAGCATACATATTTGGAAACGTGGTTATAAAACCTTCAATAAATTTTATAAATGTATAAGATTTCTATTCCGTACCTAGAAAGTATATATACTTCTGCTAACAAATATTTTTTACATTATCATCTCCGATTTCTAGACAATCTTTCATTTGGTTGGTTATGCGCGTTCTTTTCTTTTAATAATGCTGTCATTTTAGTTGATTACTCGTATAATCTTATCGTTGAAGTTTATTAATACTCTTCTGTCAATAATAAGTATGAATCGGTCGGTAAGATATGCTGTATGGTTATTTATCTTTAAAACAATAACTTACCTTTTCTATGATGAACTTCAACATCAATAGGTACCGAGTTGCCTCGGACGTAATAGTTCTCGCGAGCCGCTCTTTGTTTTGCCTCCTCGCTGGGGTAAACGAAGTCCAACTCAGCCCATTGTCTGACGACTCTGAATTGGTTCTGTGCGTGCAGACCTTGCCAACAGCACGCGATGCAATATGACAAGAGGAAGAATCTCTCAATGCCGAGACCCATCTCCCACTTGTGAGCTTGCAGCGTCAATGGATCTGAAATGTTGACAGTTTCTTTGGTTAGATATCTATATTGGTTTGATTCGTTATTAGTAATGTTCACAAGTATTTTTGATATTTAATTTAGATATATTTAAAAATGGTCCTTTTTATAATCTTACTTTATCGAGATCGTCTGAACGGATCTCGATGAAATTTGGCATACACATAAATAATAGTCTGGAAGAAGAGATAAACTGCTGATTATGTTTTTTTTAATAACGCACGGACGGAGTCGCGGGTGACCGCTAGTAAAGTATAAACACAGTAATGTATACCTATGTAAAGTTCGAAATAAGCCCTATAAGTTAACATTAAATTGAAGAGACTCTAAACGGTTATTGTTTTAGCCTTCATTGAATAATTTTAATAATTACTGAGTCATTAAACGTCTATTAAATTAATTAGTACATTTGTTAAGGAAAGTGCTATTAGCACTGTTTCAAATGACGTTTCTAATTATATTTTGCAATACTTAAACGTTATTTTAACTGTTGATTACATAAAAATAAAAATGTTTCAGTATCAATAGTTAGAAATTATTTACCTTTTAAATTAAATAAGAAATAATATACATACTTGTTATATTTAATATAATAATTAAATTATTTAAAGAACACCAAATAGTTGATTGTGCGACTTTTCAAGTTGTAGTATTAAAAAATAGAAATACTCGAAATTTATACAGAATGTTTGTTACTATTATCTAGTTTCTAATTTGCGTCTAATTTGACTTCATAATTTCACTATACAGGTTGTCCAGAAAAGACGTATGCAACTGAATACCACTTGAACATATGACGATTTAACTCAAATGAACTGTTTCTACTCAACAATCTTAATCCAAAGTATGCAACTTTGAGTAAAGATAATTTGGGTTAAATCGTCTACTTTAGACATCCTGTATAGCGCACCTGAATTAATTTATTTAAATTAGTATCATTATACTAACTGGAATATATTATCGGTAATACTTTTTATACTACCTAATAATTTCACTGAAACTCTATCGTCGTCGGTATATGAGAGTTTTCGTCTTTGTTTTTTCTAAGAGAGTATGAGTGATGGCAATATATTAACACAAGTGTCATTGTACTCAAAACTCATTATTATAAATATCAAAACTGTATTTAGTCTTTTTAATTTTTATCAGTATTTTTTTTTTCATTTACACATACTTTATTTAAACTATCAATTTTATTATAGATTTATATACACTTGAATACTTTATAAAACATCATATTTCGTAGCTTATTGCTGTTTAAATATTTGAAATTATTAATTAAGTAAAAAAAAATGACGTCATAATTTACTACATTGGCAATAGTCTAAAATAGCCTTTTATAATCTCAAGATGGAGCATCATCAAGTTTCATATCTAATCGAGAGTCTATTATCGAAATTTCTTTTTATATTGTAAATTGCAACACCGAAAAAATTATTCAACAAAAATTGGTGATGTCTTTTTCACGTCACTTTTGTGCTCCGGATTAAATATCTACAGATTATAAGTCTATGGTATTAGGAATATAAATACATATCAAAAAAGATTACCGTATCGACTCAGCAGCTCACCACATACTCTATATTGTTCCACTGTTGCGGGCAACATCTTGCATAGAACACTTATCAAATGATACTAATTTAATTTGCACCTTCTTTTGTTCACAGAAGTTGTATACAGTTTTTTTTGTATTACTTATTAATGATACGACTCACACCTAATTCTTTTAAATGATAAACGCTTTATAAATTAATGTTACAAAGATATTTATTTCGTGAGGTCCCTATTGATTCGAAAATATCTGAGTAAATTTAAAAAAATCTTTAGTCGGGAGGAATCTCTTCTAACAGAGGGTAACTTACAGATTATATTTTTTATTTGTGCACCTATTCGAGTGAAGCCAAGGATCCACGCTTATAATCGATATTTTTCATTTGTTATTCATTTTTCAAATCGTTAAGATAAGCCTACTTATATAATACTAATTGGATGTTATCAAGAAATTTTGCGAAATACTTAAAATAATTAACAGTTTTTAAATTAATTAGAATGACATTTTTTTAAATTTAACGTATGAGTGATACTTCAATTTACACTAAAATTAATTTTAGTTTGAAAGTTAAAACTCAAGAAGTGTGCTGCGTAATAAAGAGTATTTGTATTAATCTTCAAATCGAGTTAAACAGGATTCACGAAAATAAAACAATATTGTTCGTTGCAAAGAAGAAAAAAACGCCGCACGTGTTTATGTATGCTTATATCACTATTAACTTAACAGCACGTGAGTCACGTTTGAAAAAAAATATATCGGACGTATTAAAAAAATTAAAAAAAGTTATGTGAGACGTTTCACTTGGAATATACGCGTATACTGATTGACTTTCGTTCAAAAACTGGACAAAGATTTTTTATGAAAACTGTCCCCCCCCAACAAAGCCATTAACCTCTTGGTTAATATTTGACACTTAAATATTGTTAATGTCGAATCGGGCTATGTCATTGAACCACTTATGGTAATTTAAATACGACTAGATTTGTCTATACTTTGCTAATTCTGCGGGGAATAGCAAAATTACGACACGTGTTTTGAAATATCTATCAATCATTTTAGTCACGTACTAAATCTGCAAGTTCATCTTTAGATACGAACGGTCTGAGTATGAATGATGTGTACATTAAGTGCATTAATTTGTAACATTGATATAAGAAAGTTTAAATTTTATGACCAAGTATCAAGTAAAAATTCTATAAAAGTACTTGACTTTGCCAATTCGTCCAATATGTGTTGTTAGGAAGAAAATTAGACACTGTGCCGGTGTACTGGCGCAACACTAGCCTTACTAAAATGTCGATGTTTATGTCTTCTTACTATTCATTCTGATACTGGACTTTGAAACGAGTCATTCGCGGCAAAGGATTCTAACTAATAATGTATAAAAGTATAGAGCATTTTTTGGTTATGAACATTATATAAACTAAATCCACAATTCACTCAAATTTATCACATTTAAAAACCAATTCCTTTGCCAATACACGAATTACAAAAAACCTGATTTCAATAACTAATATTATTATTATTAATATATTAATTTAATAGCTAAATTCATAGTGAGGAAAGTTATTCACTTGAAAGAATATTTTACATCAACACTATCAGAAATATCAAAGTTGAAATAAATCTGACCAATTTTGTTTTTAATTATTTTTAAAGTTTCAGGTTGATTTTTTTAATTCTCTGATTTTTTTTTTTCAAGAAGTGACACCTAAAATACAGTCAAATTGAGTGTCCTTAGCGAGAATTTTACTTTTTATATGATGAAAGATCCTTCATTCTCTTTTGAAAAAAAACATGGTGTCTATTTAATAGTAGCCCTACGATTAAACTGGGATGTTCTGGGTTCATTTTGTCACGGTAAAATTTCCACATCCAACTCCTTGACAACTTCTATTAATTACCATATTTGTGTACAGTTAGAAAAAGGTTCCCACTGACCTATCTTCTACCATTTAGCATAGCCTCTTAGGCTAGTGTTACTCATTAGGCCTACTAGCTTTTGTTTTATAACAGTATCCCCAATTTCGAACATAAAGTCTTGTTACAAGTATCGTAACTTAATGATGCTATGATTGAGTTCTTGTACTTTTTATAGAATTAATAGCTAATAATATCGTGTATCGACGCAAATTGCAACATCGTAAATCGTTTTAGTACTACAATAACATAATTTTCTATAATCAAAGGATGTTAGTAATGCTCCGAATGATTTTGTTAATTTTCGATAATTCAGTCATTATTTTAAAGGGAAATCAACTTAAATAGTTTCAACCGGTTTGTGTTTTTTTTTAGTCAAAGTACAATTAATTCACCAAACATATTCCTCGAATTTGATAATTATACGCGGTGCAGGATTTAAATCCAAGGTTTTAAACAGATTAAGTTTTTACCAAAGAGTTTTCGCGACTTTTTAATAATGGTATAATGAACTTTTTTAACGAATTTATCTATTGTTTGCTAACACTATTAACACTTGATAACAATCGAAATAATTTAATTCACATGTTAATTTAAACACCACATTAAATAAATGAATAAATAGATATAGAAACTCCTTTCACCATGATTGATCTTGTTAGACTAAACTAAATGCGTGAAAGGGATCTTTTTTAAATGCGACAGAATAATATATAAGGAAAACTATCGCTGTTGTTTATTCTTATAGCGGGTAGTGACTTAGCCGAGAAACATCTGAGTTTTTATTATCTAATCCGCCATTACGGAGCTATTGTTATATAATTACGTCGCTCTTGGTCGGATCACCGTTTCGTTACCACAAAACGGTTAACGTAACATTGAACTTGAAACTTACTTGTTTGTACTTTAAGAAGCCAGTGGTAGATAAAAAAACTATAATATAAACATTCGATTTTTAATTTTAGCTCGTATAATAAGTCATGTGCCTCGCCCGGACGTGGTTTCGTACGTCACTACAGCCCCGGGACAATCCTCTATTGAGACTCCTTTTTCTCCTAAACTTCCCTGCCTAGGAATCTTTTGTTGATTGGGGGCATTAATTGTTAAATGGTTGTAGAACTTTAATGGAATTAATATATTAATAGAACAGTTACCAGAAGTATCCTAACGTAAACTAATTACCCGTGAGCGCACTCAAGCGTATTATATTGTATCATGGCTGCCATTACATTTATTTCATATAAAGATTATTTTTAGTCTTAATTATTCAGTTTTTTATTTATATGTATTAACACAGATTTAATGCCTCTATATTCATACACACCCTCTCCCTAATAAAACCGTCTGATATTGCAACATTTCTTGGTAATTGGATAACTTGCATCGCAAACGCTAACAATATATTTCTTTAGAAACCATGTTAAAATGTGTCCTTTAATCTATGTATAAAAATATAGAATTATTTATTACACTAGTTTTTCCCATATCAAAAATATTGTTAATCAATTCATTGCTTTTCAGTATATTTTATTAACATAAATGTAATGGAATGGAGGATGGATACTTTTTAAAAATTAGTGTCACGAAATGTCGCGAGATGGCGCTAGTCGTTATAACAGCTGACATGTGACATTTCGTGAATTAGCGCGGCGGTGCGGTCGATGGCTTTTTAAAATGAAACATCTATAAATCTATAAATACCGTCACTAAGAAGTTTAACATTAAAACATTAACATTTTTAAGTTGTTTTGAAAGTGTGAAAAAAGGAATTGAAATACGTGATGGAACATTTGTGCATACAGTTTCAATGAATTTCATGTGGACTAATGTGAGTAAAAAATTTTTACAATTGCTATCTAATATAAACTGTTATTAACATTGGAATAACATTTAACATTATAAATAATATGAATTTAACTAACGAAGATATTCGATATCTAGTTCTTCGAACCGCTACTGCAGTGAATGTTTACTTTGTTTATATCTTTATTACATTTTACTTTAAAACAAATTTGATTAATTTTATAGCATTGGTCATGCTATATTTAAGACTTTCTTTAACAGTAATACGTAAGAACAAATCGATTATCAATAATCGTAGTGGGAGATAAACTCAATGACATTTTCTCTACGCAATAAAACGCGTAATTGAAAACGAAGAAATCTTTGTAAGCGATTGAAAAGAAAGTAAACATTGATCAGTTATAATCAAGTCAAGCGTAATTCCGTAACTGTACCATTATTTATCTTGCCGGCCTCTAAATAACCATAACATTAGAAAGTAGAGCCACGGGAAGACAAAAAATATACCATTTTGAACATTTCGAATATCTAACTTACATTTTACTTTAATGTTGTAGTCAACTAGAAGTTTGTAATTTTGTTTATTGCTTAAAGTGTAGAACATATATATGTCTCTTTTTATTTAAAGAGAGTAAAAAGGATAACAATACTATGTTGTTTGGTAGTGTTTCTAGAGCAAAAGGTCAAATTAATTAAGATCAGTGTATAATAAAAGATGAAAATAGTTTTTAAGCATTATTAAAAATAAAAATGTCCTGAATTTTTACAACAAAAGAAAAGGAAAATATACAAAATTTATTACCTGCACGCGTAAAAGTATTAACAATTGACACGGAATTGCACAATATGTTCAGTACAATATCTTCACTTTAATAATTTTCAAGTACATAAACAAATAAAGCCGCGTGTACTGCAGCTACACGACGTAGACAATCAAATGATACACTTATGAAGACAAACAGATTTTTAATGACGAAGAGTTAATTCCACATGCGATTATTTCTTTGTTATCATTTTAATGGGTTTTGATCGTTTATTTACATTCCATAATCGTACCTTTTGTAACAAAAAGCGAATTAATTTACATCTAAACGTAATAAGCTTTGCAACACGACATTCTTGGCTGAATAATTTTCGTTATAACACATTCTTTAGTTTAAACTAATTTTTTAAAACTAATTCATTAACATCAATTCTTTATAAATCTTCTGAAACATTAAGAATTCATATGAACGTAAACAAACGTGACTTTTATATAGAAATTATTTGTTTATTTAGAAAATTTATTTATATAGAAATTATAGTCTGGTCTGGACTACTCGATCATTAGCTACTCCGACCGCGCGGTATAAAAAAAATTAGTAGCATATGTGTTCTTTCAGACTATGTTCTACATCTATGCCAAATTTCAGCGAGATACGTGCAGCCGTTCTGAAGATACCTTCAATCAAACAAACATCCATCAATCCAAACATTCGCATTTACAATATTAGTATGATATTAGTATGATTTCTCTGGTCAAGTTCCAATCCATCTGGACTTTTGACTAGTTAATTTGTGTGTCTGTGTATGTACTCTATTACTTTTAGGCGAAACATAATGTTCAGTAAACTTGAAGTAAACGTCAAATATTTGTTGTCAACAAGACGTCGTCATTACACCGTTAAACACGTGTATCATTGGAAACACTAACGGAAATATTTTTTTGTACTTAAAATAGCAATCACAAGTCCCGTAGTCCCGATTCGATGTTATTAAAATGAAATCCATAAAAACATCACTGCCAAAAATATCATAACAACAAAAAGTCGATTCTTCACCGTCGATATAAAACAACGATTAGCAAGTTAACAACGGGTTTTAAACTGGTTGTCAGTTACGTCATCTATACTTTTAATATTATAAAGAGGAAATATTTGTATTTGTATGTGAAGAATACACTCAAAAACCATTGATGTTATTCAAAAATTCTTTTGCTCGCAAAAGACTACATTATCACTGAGTAAGATACTTTATATTTGTATTTTTTTTTATTTCCGCTCGGACGATTTCGGGGTAATGCTAGACTTTCTATAAACTTGAATAATTCTATTTTTGTTGACTTGTGGTCGCATATTATTGTTATTGAGGAATAGATTATACATGTTACTATAATATACTATTTTTAATAGTTTATTTTTAACGGGCAAATAGAATAAAGATCGTATTTAACAGCTCTGTTAAAAATATACATATTGCTTATTTATTTTGTCAGGTATAAATTATTATTTGTTAATTTTTACATGGGAATGTAGACGTGATATTTTTTTACATAAAACGTATCTTAAATATTAACACATTCGTGAGGACAATTTTAGGATTTAGCATTTGTTAAACGATTCTTGGAATTGAATCATTAACTACCGCATAAGTTACTGTAGGTACCACTTAGTACAAAAATACATAATATTCACTCGCGCAAGTTTATTGGAAAAACCTAAAATTTGTAAATTCAAGATATGTCTTATGTTTTATTTTTATGTTGCAGACAACATTGATATTGTGTCGTCAATTACCGGAAGTTATTCTATTCTTAAGTTATGTATGCGTATTTTTTTACATTTAATAATAGTCGTGAATAGAACGGTTTATTAAATCGTTTTAACCTTCTTCTTTTTGAAGTCGGTTAAAATTATTCTTTACATTTCTACAATTGACACTTGGGTTCACAGCAAAGCCTAAAAAATATTTAAGCATATGTAAAAATATGTAAAAAATGTATTGTCATAATTCCTTTTATTTTATTTCAATAAAAATAAAATCCAAATATTATTAAAATTACGGTATGCAATACATGAGGTCTTAAATTCCAATCCGCGATTGTCTATTGTCCTAATCATTTTTCAGCACGAATTTATTTGGAATATTTTTTTATCTAATCGTTTATTATAAAAAGGCAAAGGCTACACTTAAATTATTCTAATGCATTCGAATGCTACAGGTTTTTATTTAATATATTAATCACGTTGGTCGTGGTAAAAAAAATATAGAATGATAAATTAGTATTAAAAGATATTTGAAAATTAAGTTAAATGGTTGCTATTAATATTATTAGTTTTGAAATTAAATTAATAATCTTATAATTGTATTTTTTGGTAAATGAATTTTATCTGCAAATTTTAATAATTATGGACTAAGAGATTGAATTGTTTCCTTATTCTTTTTTTTTCTAACATAACATTTGTGTCGGAGCTATAAAATTAAATTTTAGCGGATGTGTATTGTAGATACAAAACTTCGGATGTGATAAAAAAAATGTTAAAGCGTACTCGTTCAAGTTACATATAAAACAAATATTAAATTATAACAGGAGTGTAATAGAATGTAAAATTAATATCATGTTAGATTATTTGCTTGAATTGCCGGGAAATACGTTTAAGTGTAAACAAAAACCAGCTGTCGTGGTAATGTCAAATCTTTTCACCACTACTTTTAACCAGTGGGAGGAGACGAAGTAATATTATTTGAAGTAAATAATTACAGATTAAAGTAAGAAATAAGTGGACGGTGGATACAAATGAGTCTATTATTAGAAGTAATTTCCTCGTTAGCTTATGGAGCTCTTCATTGAGGATCTCTCGAGTGTTCTTTAATAATGGATGAGTAGGCTTTAGCCGACCATTCATTTTAACTACTAATAAATTCACAATAACATTTGTTTATTGAATAATCAAAGAGAATTATCTTCTTAGCTTATAAATAATTATTAATATTATAAATGTTAAAGTAAACAAATTCAAACAGAGAAGAAATAACTAATGTATAAGTGTTTAAATAAGAAACCATACATACCTCAAGTAAGTATATAGCAAGATTTGTCCGCAGTATTTCAGTTTAAATCGTGTAGTGATTTTTTGCGATATTTAAATATGAAAAATGCGTGCGCGATACGCGAGATGCGAGCGTGTACTGTTGCGAAACAGTGCGGGCTTAAATAACACCGGTGTTTAGATGACCCAAACCCGAGGTAACGTCTTCCTTTAACAATGTGACGTTTCCGTCTCTTTTCAATGAATTAGATGTCTAAAACCACAGGCACGTACCTCGTATTCTAAAAAGTGTTCGGCAAACGATCACGTTTTACCAAATTTTAAGTATTTGTCAAGGTACCATCACATAGCCACTTACCATCAAGTGGGTTTGTGGTCAAGCACTGGTTTAATCAATATTAAAAAAAATGTAATGTATTGTTTGATGCTTTTGTCTATATTTGATGACAAGCTCTTGGAAAGCTTTTTGAAAAGCAAAAAGCTTGCATTTCAGTACAGTTTTAATTGAACTAATTCTGCTTGAATGAATGCTTCATTTTTCACATTTCATAGTTATTCTAGTTTATACGTTGCTGATATCTGTAGGCGTCAGTGATCTCTGTCGTTATGATACCCGACATTTCAAAATATTTTACTATTCTTCAATTTTATGTTAATCCGTTAATTTAAAAAAATAAAACGACCTTGTTGGGAGTCGACCTCGCGACATTTAAATCTTATTTCCGACGGCATCATATCAGTCAGTAGGTCGTTTATTGTTTGTTTTAAAAATATACTTAATTAACGTAGTTAGTTATTTAAGGATTTTAAGGAAGTACAATGGTTTCAACAATTTTTAGAAGGAAAATACTTGTAATGACAACTATTGAACAAGTATTATAATTGAATCTCTTTGATTCACTATCGAAAAATATCCTAACATGTTAGAAAACTTATACGCTTTATTGCTACACAGAATGTTCGATTTGGTTTATAAATGTGATATCTAAAAGATAATTAATTTGTAAAGACCTCTTTCATCCAGATAGTCTTTCAACTTCGGGAAGTTTTGTATTTATTTTCGATCTTAATTTATTTCAAACACATTTTTTGAGAAATTTCAAAGACATTTTAATTTCCATACTCATAACAATATAATTAAAACGACCCTTTGGCATATTTTAGTAAATAGAAAACAGCTGCTATATAAAACTGTCGTGTATATTTCCGAGAAAACAATTCATATCCGTTGCTTTAAACAAAAACATAATGGTTTAACTATTTAAAAAAACTGCAAAGTTATTAGTTTTATTATTAATTAGTAAATTATAAGGAGTAGCGAAGCATTAACAACAACATCATTACTCAATCTTTTAGTTGAATGAATAAAGCTTATTGGAAACAATAATAAGATATTATTAAATTTAAACATTTAAATTAGACGATCACGATAGCCAATTATAACGTTTTGAACGACCTAAATAACTTAATCTACAATAAAGAAACAAATAAAATCTACGCCGTTAATTATTAAAATCAATCAAGCATTGAATAAATAATACACTAAAAACGTAAACAGAACAATGGAAAAGCTAAGTGCAACTCCGACAACCAGCTGATGTAGCAATGCTCTATAAAAAAAATCGTTCCAATTATCTTCTCCTTAATAATAAAAAGTAATTCTGCGCTAATTCTGGCAAATATGCAGGTATAAAAAGAAGAGAAAAAATAATGTTTGCGTCTGTGCCATAAATGTAATAAAAATTATATTTCATCGTCGTATAACAAAAAACAGTTTAAAAGTTTTTGTCTGTCCGTAAGTTCGCATTTGTTTTTGGTAATTTTCGAAACGGTTGCACCGATTTTGACAGGACTTTTACTGGAAAGCTGACTTATGTGAAAGTAACTTAGGCCACTTTTTTAAATTCCACATTAACAAGGCACAAATACGTTCATTTCGAGATTTATCACTATCAACGAATCACAACCATTACAATTTTCAAATCAATTTACCGAATAGACACTAGATCGGTAAACAAGCTGACAAAGTCAATGACTGGTAAAAAAAAATACGATCGTTGGCGAAGCGAAACAATTGACAATCACAGGATGCATAACTAAACCAGAATAACCAATTTGTTTCATTCACACCCACTTTCGACATTATTTTTGTACTAGAAGCTATGTCAGAAATGTTTTTCACATTGTA